CTGCTGTGTTCATCCAGCTCTACACCTTGTTATCTCAGATTCTCCAGCATCTATCTCTTATAAAATTACCATAGTCTGACCAGATCATAGGTCTGCTCTCTCACGAAAGAGAGAGATGACTAGTGGTGGTTTAACCTAAGGGTCACCAAGCCTTAGGTGAGGGGAGAGGTTGAGATGGAGAATCTTTCATGGTAATCTCAACTGGTGCAGGCTTATATGTGACTTCAGAACCTTGGCAATGTGGCTACTTCTGAAATGGCCCTCAGTTCAAGAGAAATTTGAGATGGACAACATATGCTGGGTTGCCAGTAATGCCACATCCCATGAAAGAATAAAGGGAAAGAAAAACCAATGCATCATTTTTTTCAGGAAAATGGTGAGCAGTCCTTGCAAAGTACAATTTTATTTTCACTACTTTAGTCCAGTTCAGACGAGATTATTAATCTTTGGTTTTTTGTTTGTACCGTAGTTGGGTGAATATTAGAACAGAGAAGGGCCTGGCGTAGATCAGTTAAGCAAAAGAAGATATGTGTTCACTCATCACCATTCATGCCTCTTTGAAGTGGAGGGATACAGAGAACTCCTGGTGAAAATGCCACATAGCGGTACTTGTCCTTGTGACAAGAGTGGTTGTGGCATTAGGCTGCAGCTGTGGTGTGCAGGTGTTGGAGTGAGACATTTCCCTAGCCATCTCTTTCCATTTGGGCTGCTGTTTCCATTGTATTCACGCTCATGTGAAGAGCTGGTGCAGATGTGATGGTCTGAGTGGCCTCCTTTGCCTCCATAACACTTCTGTGATTCATCGGTGATTCTAGGCGTCAAGTAACCGAACGTTTTGGCTGTGTTTCAGTGCACTGGGGCTGGTTGCTGGGTAAGTGATCTCTGCTGTGAGCCATATAGGGTGTGGTGACTTACTGAGTAGTAGCATGGAGGGAAGCCAAGTTAAAAAGTACAAACAGATGTCTGGATTGTGTCGGTCATAGATTAATTCCAACCTTCCAGACATGAGCTTAGTTGTGCTTTTCGGCCTGTACGTTGCTGCTGATCCTAGAGTCATACGTCATTGAAGGCCATTCAACCAATCAAGCCTGTGCCATTCCTGTGAAAGAATCATCCAATTACTTGCACTCCCCTGCTCTTTAAAAGAGCCTTTTTCCCCCTCTGTTATTCAATTTTCATTTGAAATTTACAATTGAATCGACTTTCACCACACTTTCAGAGAGCACATTCCAAACATGACAGTTCACTGTGTCGAAATAAAATCTCATTGCCACCTCTGGTTCTTTTGCCAATTCTCTTCAATCTCTGGCCTCTGGTTATCAAGCTTCTGTAGGTGTAAACAGTTTCTTCTCATTTATGCTTCAAAGTCCCTTATGAATTTGAACATCTCTATTAGACTTTGCCTTAACCTCCCCAGCCTTTCAGACTCCCTAACCAATTGAAGACCCTCGCCCCTGATATAATTCTGGTAAGTTGCATCTGCTTTCTTTCTAATGCCTTGATGTCTTTCCTAATGTGTGGTATTAGAATTGGACACCATGCTCTAGCCCTAATAGTGACTTATGAAAGGTTAGAGTAACGTGTCCCTTCACCCTTGTGCATTCACTTGAGTCATGTGTTCCAGTCAGGCTTTTGAAGTGCAGCCAGTTCCTTCTCTCACTTAGGCAGGTCAGGCCACCCATTAAATTTCTGTGAACAGTCTTTATGCTATAAAGAAGAAGTGGACAATGTGCAAAAAGCATCAAAAAGGGTGGTGCTGAACAAAAAGGGGTAATAATGGCTTTTAGCAAAGACTAAACAGGTCCGGTTTTCATTTCTTTAGAAAAGAGGAGACTTTGTGAAGGCTTGATAGAACTTTGTCTTTGCAATAAGGAATGGTTGCACATGGCAGATGTGGAGAGAACAATTTTACCATCATGGAATCCAAAATCTAAGGGCAGAACTTAAAGCCCCATTCCCCCCTTCCCCATGACAACATTTTTATTTGCATGTGGGACATGGACATTATTGGCTAGCATTTATTGCCCATTCCTTGTTTGCCTTGAAAAGGTGGTGATGAGCTAACTACTTGAACTGCATTCCATGTGCTGTAGGTAGACCCACAATGCCTTTAGGAAGGTAATTCCAGGATTTTGATTCATATATTTCCAATATATTTCAGGATGGTGAGTGTCTTGAAGAGGAACTTGTAGGTGATAGTGTTCCCATTATTTGCTGCCCTTGTCCTTCTAGGTGGATGTGGTCGTGGGCATGGAAGGTGCACTCTAAGGAGGCTTGATGAATTTCTGTAGTTCGTCCTGTAGGTTGTGCTCCTACTATGCATTGATGTGAAGGTGCCAGTGTTGGACTGAGGTGGACAAGGTCAAAAATCACACAACATCAGGTTGTAGTCCAACAGGTTTATTAGAAGACACATGTTTTCAGAGCCTCGCTCCTTCTTTAGGTGCTAGTGCTATGCATTGGTGGTGGAGTGAGTGGATGTTTGCAGATGTGGTGCCAATCAAGTGGGCTGCTTTTTACTGGATTGTGTCAAATTTCTCGAGTGTTGTTGGAAGTGCACTCATCCAGACAACCAGGGAGTATTGCAACAAACTCCTATCTTGTGCCATTACGAATGTGGGTAGACTGTGGGAGTCAAAAGGCGAGTTACTGACCTGCACTTGTACTTATAAGGCTAGTCCAGTACAGTTTCTGCTTCACAGTGCTGCTGCCGATGCAGGCAACACAGTACGCAATCCCCTCCACCTTTCCTTGACCCTGGCTTGCTGTTGTTTCGTTGATTGCCCAATGGCACTTAATTTAGTGGGCTGTCATTAAAAGGCAGCAAGGGGCTCTCACTGGGTCTCTTTTGGCTTCCATGAAACACTGCCTTTTGTACCAGAAATCCAAGATAATTGACAATAACAAGGCAACGAATTTCTTTACCCATAGAGTCTTACAAAGTGGGACTCACTGCCTCAGGAAGCAAGTGAGGCAAAAACTCAGATTCTACGAAAGAAAAATGTATGAGGACAAGAAAGAGAAAGGGATAGAAAGACTAAAAGAAACAAAGAAAATGCTGGAGAAACTCAGAAGATCTAACAGCATTGTGGAGAGAGAAACAGAGTTAACATTTCGAGTTCGGTAATGACTTCTCCCCAGCTGTTACTATGTTATATATTCTGTCATTCAAATCAGACTAAAAACACAATTTGAATTTATATAGCTACTTTAATGGCGGGAAGACACCTCATAGGACCCTAATCGAAACAAAATTTTAATCAAGCCACAAAAAGGGAGAGGGGACCCACAGCTTGGTTAAAGATATAGGTTTTAAGGAGCATCTTAATTGAAGAACAAAGAGTTTGTGATTTAAAGTGCAAATATTACAGGAACTGACTGTATGCCAACCAAGAGTGAAGTGATTAAAATCAGGAGAATTTGTAATGCTTAGTTGTCTGATTTGTGTTTCTGACCTCTTTCTGAACTCTATTTGCATTGCATGGAACTTCTTTATCTGTGAAAAATTATTGTAATGAACAG